GCCCCCTTTCGTATCTCTCCCGCCCCGTTTCTTTGCCTCCGTCTCGCCGACCATCAGACCTACGTTGCTCCCGTGTTTTTTTTATTGCGTTTTTTCTCCTTGTGTGCTCTGCTCTCAAACGGAGACATCGACGTGCGACATCAGCAGCGACAGCACACAGATCAGACAGACATCTAATCCAGACAATTCTCACCGGCAACTAACTCTCTTTCCTTCGCCACACCTCCAGAAACACGAACCACACACACAGACACACACCTGCAAAAAATAAAAAAGGAGAAATGCTGCGTTCTCGCTGCGCTTTGTGCGGCGTCCAACGTGGTGTCGCACCGCACGTTTTTCTCACCGGTTCGTCGGCGCGGTGGCTGCGCGCCTCTCGCGTGCTCCTCAGCGCCGCTTCCACGCCCCCCGGCGTTCACCCCGCCCTGGCACGGCGCGCCGTCGAGAACAAAGCGCCGTCAGCCAAGCACAGACAGAAGACACCGACAACGCCGGAAGAACCGCTTTCGAGGCCCCGCACACACGAGAACGTCTTCGCGCATCAGGCGACGGCGGCGCTGAATTCTCTTTTTGCCAGGCCGCACTCATCAGCCTCGACCGCACCACTCGACGGCGCGGCGGAGACGATCGATGTCGCAGAGAGCTGTGCAGCAGCTGCAGAAGCAGCAGTGCAGAAGACGGTGGCAACAACCACCGCAGCTGTCCGTGACGCGGCGCCGCACGACGAAGCGGCACCCGAGCTGCTCGTGTCGCATGGCGAGGAGGAGCTGCTGGAGGATCGTGCGCTACAAGCACTGGATATGACGAACCCCGAAGCGTATGCCACGACGACGTCGACGCACGACGCGCCTGCCGCTGCGACGGAGGGCGAGGAGGGTCAACGCAGCGCCCCGATACCGCGACAGAAGCTGCAGGCAGCAGAAGGCAACACCGCGACCCCGCTGCATTCGCCCAACATGCAGGATGGCAGCCGCGTCGCCGCGAAGGAGGCACTGCCCAATCTTCAGAGGCCCGTCAACCTGCAAGGAGCGCTTTATTTTGGCGAGATGGCGTCCATGTTGCAGGAGGCGGCCCACGATCGCCACTTCGTGTCTCCGGTCTGGAGCACCCAAGAGGCCTTCGAAGCGATTGGGTCCGCGGTCGAGGTGCCAGACGCCGAGGGCGTGGTGCTGCCCATCTCCTCGGCCCAGCAGATCTGCGTCTTCAACCTGGAGCAGACGTCGCTGGCCGATCGGTTCCGTGTGGCGACGGCGCTGGAGCTGCGGAAGTACGTGCACGACCGAAAGAGGTCGTCCGCCGCGCGCCCATCACCGTGCAGGCCGTTGACCATCGCAGGCAGTCCACTGTCGCGCGAGCGGGCCAACGCGCTCGCGAATTCGCCCACTTTCTTTCACTGGCAGGAGCAGTGTCCGTATTGGGTTTCCATAAATGACTTGCGCGTTCTCGACGCAGCTGTCCGACCAGAGATGGAGGACCAATACATCATGATGCCTCGTTTCGGCGTCAGCCCAAGCGGGTCGAGGGAAACCGACGGCGGCTGCAGTTCCTCTTCTTCCTCTTCGTTCGCGGCGGACAGCCGCACACTCCGTCGAAGCGAGGTGGATGAGGAGGACCGCATGTACAACCTCCTGCAGCTCCACGACGATGAGGGGCGGTTCTCGCGGCCGTTTGGGCACTCTGCAGAGAAGCTGTCGCGGTGCTACGGTATTCGCGGGACGCGCTACAGCCCCGCCACGACGTGGCTCATGTGGGAGTACTGCCAGCGCTACCACTTCCCCCTCTCCTCGGGCCGCATTGTGATGCTGACAGCGGAGCGTATTCAGAACATGGGCGGTACAGTGATACAAGAGGCACGATACCCCCTTCCGCAAGAGTCGAAGGCGCAGTCTCACGCTGACGAGGAGGCGAGGAGTAACACCGCCGCGGAGGACGGTGATGGTGTTGTGCCCCCGCCCTTCACGATGCTCATACACGGCGAGGTGGTGACGCTGTACAACGCGCTGCAGACCGACATCCCGAATGCTATCTTTCAATACGTGGAGCGGCAACTCGAAGATCGATTTAAATTCAGTTTTGCGAAGATGGACAACAACTTCTTCCGACCTGAACACGAGGCAGCGGGACAGAGAAAATACTAATAGGGCCCTGTTGCCAAAGGACAAGACACATTCAAGTGTAGTGGTCGATTTGTGTTTGGCTGCACGCGCTGGCACATGACGGCAAGCAGAACTCGTGTCTTCTCGCAGCGTACTGTGATGGAGAGCGCTTCCCTTTTTCTTTTGGTTCCATTTGTTATATATATATATATATATATTTGCTCATACTTTTCCAGTTTTCCCGAAGCTGGAGCGCTTTCGATTGGTATTGATTCAGAATTATTGCTTTAGGCGCTCCCTCCGTTTTCCCCCATTTACCCCAAACGCTCAGAGGACAATCCGCTACGCCCTTCTTTTGTCTTTCCTCCTCAAGATACGATGTTGCACGGCGGCTGTTATTTTTTGTTCCGTGTTCGTCGTGTAGTATATATGTAAGTGTTTTCTGCTTTGATCGGTTTTCTCTTTTTTTCCCTTTGTAACGTCGAACCAAGGCCGCACAGGCATGGCGGTCGTTCTGAGGCTTGCTTGGAGTACGATGAGAAGGGGGTGGCGTGAAGGCGCGCTTTAAACCCTTCTTTTGCCGAAAGGAAAAGAAAGAGGATCATTGCGCTCTCTCTCGTACGCAAAGAAACGGCGCCGCTGCTCTTCTTCGTTTCTCTTCTGCTTCTTTCCTCTAACGCGCTTCTCGCCGATTTGCAAACACACCAGCCGCCTCCCTTTTTTCTTCTTCTTATTTATTTAAAAATTGAGTTGGATGGCGGAACGCTTCAAAGAACAACAACGAAAAAAATCCCTCCTCAGAATTGGAGAGTTTTTGTCGTGCTTTTTGCGCCGCCTTTTGTCTTCCCTTTTTTCTCTCTCTTTGTCATCCTTTAAACCAGATTGCGTACACGGTCCCTTCACACCTTTGTAAGCTCCTCTCATCGTTTCAAGAAACAGAAAAAGTTGCTTTTTTAATAGTTGTATTCTAGTACACGTTGTGCCGGAGGGCCTGGCGTGTCAGCCTCCCTCACCGGGAAGTTCTGTCTCTTGAGGAAACGGTGAAGCTGCTTCTCCCGTCCCCAGCGCAGCTGCAGGAACTGCCTGTGCTTCACCGTGGCTTTTACGCCGTGAAGGCAGGACCGGGTCAGCAACGGAGGATAATGGAGAGAAGAGCGCGCCGCTTCTGCCCTTCAAACTTCTGCCGGTCCATCTTCGTGCCGGCGGGAAAAAAATATAGTAAAAAATAGACGACTGTGGCCTATCAACCGGCACACCTTATCCACCTGAAATCCAACTTTCTGCTCATCATTTCTCTTCTTCTCTCTCGGTGCGCGTGTGTATCGGGAACTGCTGGAGAGCCCGACGAGGATAATAATAGCAGAAAAGAACCCAAACGGGCTGCTCGGATATCTTCGCCGGCGCGAGGGGCATAAGGCGGGAAACGACGACGTTATTCTTGTTTTTCTTTCTTTCTCGTTTCTCTCCCTCTTCACGACTCCCGGCCCTGACGAGCGGCGCAGCACGTGGAAAAGGCCGCGCGGTGGTTCATCACATCCACACAGCAGCGTACATGTGAACACGTACACACACAAACCCAAGCACTCCAGCAAGGGAACATAGAAGCACGCTCCACTTTTTTTTTTGCAAATTCTTCGTCATCATACATTAGAAAGCCATTCTCGTTTTGTAAACCGTCTCTCTCGCTTTGTCGGAACTGCGTGACACGAGGAGCCTGCGCCATTCATACACACACACACACACGAAGGAAAGCACATCTACCACATATTCGGTACAATATTATAAGGAAAGAAATGCAAGCGGTATCCGGCAATGCTAACCCAGCGCAGCCAAATGCCGGTGCTGCTGGTGCGGCCCATGGGAGTAGTCCCGCCACTCCTACAAGCCCCAACGTTGCCGCCCTCCAAGCCGAGGTGCACCAACTCCTCGAGCGACTCAACATCAGCAACGAGTGGAACATGCGGCTGAACCAGCAAATTAGCGAGCTCACCCAGCTGCCGCCGGGTGACGTGCAGCAGATGCGACAGCGGATGCTTGACCCCGATATCGCCATCCCCTTGCTTCAGTGCTACGACGCCGTTATTCAGGAGAAGACCGAGGAGGTGGATCAGCTGCGGAAGGAGAAGGCGGAGCTGCAAGGCCAGCTGGACGCGTTTAATCGGGATCAGCTGGACGTGGCGAATGCGGTGCGCATGGCCGAGGACCTCGTCAAGAGCGTGCAGGGCAAGTCCTCCGACGAGGTGCAGCGCTACGTGACGGCGGTGAGGGAGCTGCAGGAGGAAACTGTCCGTCTGCGCCTGGAGGTGACGCGCGCCCTCGACGCGGAGAACGCAGCGAAGCAAAGCGCCCTCCACGCCAGCGAGGCGGCCTCATCGCTCCAAAAGGCTCTCGAGGCGGCAAAGCAAGAGGCAGCAAAGGCGCAGGAGGCGCTGCAGGTCGCCGAGCGCAGGGGGAGGCAGCACGCACAGCAGGCAGGCGAGGACCAGATGGGCCTCGCCGTGCAGCAGGTGCAGCAGCAGCTGCTTCAGCAAGAAAACGCGGACAAGTCGCAAGAACTAGAGCGATTGCGGGCGAAGATGGTGCAGGCGTTGCGGCAGACAAGCGACAATCACGCGGCACACCTGCGCATTGTGGAGGAGCGCCATCGCATGGTGCTGGAGGACCTGCGCAGCGTGAACCGCACGCAGGAGTTGGAGCTGCTGAAGCTGCGCGCGCAGCTCGCACGGTGGGACCCGGCGAACCCGTCGAACCTGAGCCTGTCTGGTCACGGTAGTGGGACTGGGGGCTCCGTCCGAATGCAGAGCACCGCGGAGCTGCTCGAGGCACAGACTCGACAGGCACGCGAGATGGAGGTAAAGCGGCTGTACGGTGAAGTCTCGGCTCTGCAGCTGCAACGCGATGACGCACTGCGGCAATACGAGCAGCTCACGTCTCGCCTGCAGCGTGACCGCGATCAGCAGCTCGTGGAGGCGCAGCGACAGGTGCAGACGGCGCAGCGCAGCCTGGCCGACGTGCGCGTGCGGTGCGAGGAGTTGGAGGCAGCGAAGTCGACGCAGGACGCGTCGCTGCGCCAGACACGGGAGGAGCTGCGCCGGGCACAGCAGGAGGCTCAGCAGACCCGCCTTAGTTTCGACAGTCAGACGCGAAAGCTGGCATCACTGCAGCAGCAGCTGGCCGACGCCACGGTTCGCGTGACGGCAGCAGAGGAGGAGCGGAAGAGCGCCGTCGAACAGGAACAGCGACGCACGGCCGACCTGGAGGCGAGCGTCGCACAGGCGCTGCAGGACGTTCAGGCTGCCCGAGAAGAGGCCTACGCAGAGGTGGCGGAGGTGCAGCGCAAATATGTACAGTTGCAGGACCGTTACCAACAGGCCCAGGATCAGCTACGGGTGCGGCAGCAGGCTCTGGACGCGAAGGAGCGGGCGTGCGGCATCGCCGAGCTGCAGCTCGGACGGCTGGAGGAAGGGCTAGAGGCACACAAGCGGCAGCTTGTTGAGGGCGATCGCCGCATCCAGCAGCTGGAAGCGCTGCTCGGCGAGGCGCGTCAGCAGCAGCGTAGCTCGTGCATCTCGCTGGAGCAGTTCAAAATTCAAAACACGCAACTGACGCGTGCGCGCGACCAATTAGCCGAGCTGCTGCAAGCCAGATCGTTTTGACAAGAGCTGCCGGAAGGGGCACAGCGGCTGCTCCAGCACCCACCCACTCGGAGAAAGGTGTCCGAATGGGCACGCGATAGAGGCACGGGAGGCACACGGACAGTGGTGCTGACCTCAACATACACATATATATGGTTCAATAATTCGTCTCTCCTTCGCTACCTTCGTGGCCCCCCTTTTTTGTTGCTGTTGTTGAGGAACGGACGCCGTTTGCAATAGATTCTCGTGCCGATCGCACGTACGATACTATAGACTGTGGTCAAACAAACAGAGTAGCTACCCTATCGTACCGTAACGGAGAAGCAACGACAAAGGAAAAAAAAAGAGCTCGGCGCGTGATCGCGGCTGGTCTGCTGAGATCCTCTTCATGTAGGAGGGGGGCTTCAACGGTGGAGAACACCCACTGAAAGGACACCGTTCCTACTCTTACACGCCGGCATCGTTATTTAATTTGTTTGTTCCCTCTTCTGCGTTCGCACGGCTGGGAGGCTCAGAGGGGCGCCTCTTCTTTCCTCTTCTTGCTGGGGTGCGAAGTTCAGCACATTTCTTATTTCCTGCATGCCCTTTCGTGTAGCGCGTTGTCCCGAAAGCACCTCCGCAAATTTTTCTTCTCTCTCATTCTCTCAAGAAGAAGGAAAAAGAAAGGCCGTAACGAATCTCACTGCTGTTCGTGAGCAGCTCCGTAGTGCCTCGAGAACATCATCATCATCAGCAGCAGCAACAACACACACACACACACACACGACCCACATCGTCGCATCTAATAACACGAGCGAAGTTTCACGGGAAAAAACGAACGCCGGTCTTCTCTTGTGTGTTTTCTTTGCTTTGTGGGAAAATGGACTATTCGACCGCAACTTCGTCCTCCGCACCGGTGACGTCCCCTTGCACTTCCACCTCTTCCCCAAACACCAGGCCTTCTGAGATGGAGGATGAGACACCACCAGCAGCAGCAGCAGCAGAACAATCTTCATCAACGACGCAGTACGTTCCATGCTCTATCACGGCGAATCAGTGGGACACGGTGGCGGTGTGGTCCTGGGACGTGCAAACCAAAGTGTGTGCCATTTGCAAAGGCAACCTCGCCGATCAGTGCATTAGCTGTCAGGCGCAGGGCCCGCAGGTTCACGCCACCACATCTGCGTCGGCCTCTTTCGCACCGGCGAGCGCGGGCACTGGAGCCGCAGCTTCTCTTTCTACTGCTGCTCGTGGACCAACCGCCGCCGCCGTCGTTGGAGGTAGTGGCAGCAGTCGTAGTAGTAGTAGCAGTGGCGCTCTCCACATTCGCCCAACGATGCCAGCGACCGCCTCAACAGGCCACCATGCGGGGAGCACCGCGAGCCCGGCGCACTCCACGCCCGCCACCCTGGCCGATCTGCATGATAAGTGTTGCGTGGCGTGGGGCACCTGCGGCCACGTCTTTCATTACCACTGCGTGTCGCGGTGGCTGCAGATGCGCTCCATGTGCCCCGTCTGCGGGGGCCCGTGGCAGCTGCACAAGATCACACTGAACGAGTGACCAGAGAGCGGGGTGTGCGTGTGCGTGTGTGTGTTTGCGGAGCGTGGCACTAGCGCCGCATGGAGAGCGCTCTGTTGTTCTTCTCCGTCCACGGTTGTCGTTCACGACTTTTCATGAGTCCCCGTTGCTCTCTCCTCCTGCCTTGCGGTTTTATCTGCCGGGGCCCGCTTTTTTTTTTCTGCCTCCGTCATGCACCAACGTGAAAGATTCTTGTGCATGTTAAATGGGCGAACATTTGCGGCAATGAAGTCGCAGCCGCGACGCCACACTCTCCGCGCTCTGTTGTTGCTGAGATGCCTTGTGGCGATGCAAGCAACCGATGTGTTCGTCGCGCACCTCTACTGAAAAAGCAAGGAGGGGGTGGGGTGGGGGTGGGAGCGCCTCCTTTCCTGTGCCGTCTCCTCCCCGAAACACACAAGCATACTTGCCCTCGATGACGACCTCTCTCCTTTCCATTTTTCTTCTTTATTTAAATTGGTTCTCTTCCTCCGCCTGCGACTACTTTGCGCACGACAGTACCACGCCCACGGAGCACATACACACGCACTGAGTGAGCAGCACCTGCATCTCACATCGGCAACCTATCTTTTCCCGAAAGAGGAGAACAGCTGCAGCAGCAGCAACAACAATTCATCGCTTCACCGCAGCATCCCTCCCCCCTTCCCCACAGCAGCAGCAATGTCGCAACCCGCCACGTCGAGCGGTGGGGTCGCCACGGACGGCGTTATCATCCCCATTGAAACGAAGTACATGTACATCACCGCCATGAGTGTGCCGCGGGAGACGATGATCATGAAGGACTCGTGCGCCGTCTGCAACGGCTCGCTCGGTCACCCCTGCGTGAATTGCAACTCCGTGCTCGACGACTGCCCGGTGGTGATTGGCGCCTGCCGGCACGCCTTTCATCAGCACTGCTTTGAGCGGTGGGAGAAGGCGCACGGCACCTGCCCAACCTGCCAGGAAGCGTGGCAGCAGGAGCGCATTATCCGGGCCGCGTAAAACACGCGTTCTTCGTTTTTCGATTTAGTCGCGTGCTTGTGTGGGGAGGTAAGGCTGTGAGGTGTGCCTTTACGTGCACTCGACGGCGGCAGCTGCAGGTCGACTTGTCTTGTGCTCCCTTACAGGCACTTCAAACTGCCTTCTCTTTTTTCTGTACTCCCGCCACGGCGTCAACGGCCCACCGACAGAGTGGTAGACGCCTGCTTTGGAAAGGTGACCTCCTTATGCATCCTGTTGACTTCGTTGTTTCGTTGCCTTCTTCGCCGGGTCGGCGGAACACACTCTTTTATCAGCTGGTTTCTTTCGTCTTCTGTTTTTTTCCCTTTTTTCCGAGTATTACTGTTGGCGCCGTCTTCGGAGTTTCGCTAGTCGCGTACGTGACGGCAGCTATTTCAAGCACACAAAACCACACAATACGAAACAAGTGAGAACACACGGGCACTGGCGCCTCTGATAGTTTGGATGACAGCGCAATCGGCTCCTTCCCTCCTGTACTTCTCACTTCGTTCCTTTATCGCCTCTCTCTCGCCTCCTCTTCTACAACCCGCACGTCTGTGAATGAAAAGGAAAAGCCTCCCCACGAGCAGCAGCCACTTCGGCTCGGTTTTGAAACGGATTAAAGTAGGCCTGCGCACCAGCAAAGGTTGCCTTCATCATCGTCCAGCGTTGTCGATTTAAGTCACACCAGCGAAGCGGTCGCCTTATTTCTCTGTTACGCCGTTAGCTTCAGCGTAAAAGAACAATAAAACAAGAAGAAGAAGAGAGGGCGAGAGAGTCATGCAACGTGATGATGGTGCCGCGCCCATTGTTGCCACAGCGGGGTTGCTGCTGGAGACATCGCTGGGGTCGTTGGTGATCGACATCATCGGCGCGGACTGCCCGGCCCTCTCCGCCAACTTCCTTAATTTGTGCCGCGCGGAGTTCTGGAACGGCGCGGTGGCGACGGAGGTCGTGCCGGACGTGGCCATCTTTTTCTCCTTGACAGCGGATCCGGTGTATTACGATCATCTTCGAAGTGCGCTCGAGCACCCCCGCCCTCCCAGCTCCGCCGCCCACAACGCACCATCTGGTGGAGCAAGGCGTCTTGTGCAGAGCTTCTGGTCTTTACTGCCGCGGCAAGCTGCGGACCCGACGGCAGTACAGTGCGATCCAACGTCTTCCCTCGCCAGTGTACGGCAGACGCTTCCCGGGACGGCGGCGCGCTCGGCTACCGCTTCTGCTTCTTCTGTCAACGACCCTGTGGAACAGCAGGACGACGCCCTCCAGCTCGCCATCCAACACGAAGTTCGACTGTGCAAGCGGCGCCGCTGCGTCGGTCTCTCGCTGAGCCACGCCGGCAACAAGAAGAACGAGAATAATAGTGCGCACCACGCAGATGTGTATCAGCCGCTCTTCGCCGCCGCCGCCTCCAGCGGTGCTACGTCGCCCTGTGCGGTGTGCGGCGCAGGTCGATTGCTCATCGACATCACCGCCCCCACCCTTCGCTTCGGGCTGACGCTGACAAACCGAACGATGGACTTCTTAGATAGCCAGTACGTCGTGATTGGTCACGTGAGGGAAGGCGAGGCCGTCCTGCAGCGTATGCGACGGACTCCCTTGAGCACCGGAGTAGCGACTACGACGTCTCACGCTCCGCCCAGCACCGCATCTGCAGCGGGAGTGTCGACCACCCAGGAGGCCGACGGCGACGACGCTGTGGTGGTGGTGGCCGGCCGGCCCGCCGCTGCGTGGCCGCGCCCCGTGCGTATCGTACGCATCAAGCGAGCTCGTGTGCTGCCCACCGCCGGCACCGATAGGTACATTTCCTCTCCCTCGGCGGCGTGGTCAGGGCTGTCCGCTGCGGGGAATGCGGCGGGTACAGCGGCCGAGACGCATCAGCGGCGGCAGCGTGTGGGTCAGGCGCTGCAGCAGGCGGGGTGCTTTGCCTACTGGGCATCCGCAGCGGCGGTGCGTGCGGCGCATCGGCGGCTTGTCGGGATCGTGCAGGCGTGCCTGGCGCAGGAGGGGTACTCGGCCGCCACACGGCCCACGACAGTCGCGGCGGCGACGGCGCTGCTGCGGAGCGACAGCAGCGGCTCTGCAGGCGGCCCACGTTCCTCCTCCCCCTCAAAGCCGTTCGTGGTTCTGCAGCGCAGCAATTCTGTCTCGGTGAAGACTCCGCTCGACGCCAACGATGAGGCGGACTCGCTCGAGCTGACCTACAACCCGCACTACGCCGGCGCGTACCTCAGCTCCGAGGAGGAGGATGACGTATATGACGATACTCTCCGTGGGACCAACGCACCCTTCGCCAACACGCGCAGCCTCTCCGCGAAGCAGCTGGAAGAGCGCCGCCGGCTCTTCATGCAGCAGCACCAAGAGAAGGCGAACGAGACGTTGTCGCTGATGCTGAACGTGCTGAACGGTGTGGCCGACCCACGGGGTGATATGCGGCCCCCCGAGAACGTCCTCTTCGTGTGCAAGCTAAACCCGGTCACCACGGGGGAGGGACTTGAGATGTGCTTCGCCCAGTTCGGCCGGGTCGTGTCTGCTGAGGTGATCTACGATGCCACAACGAAGCAGTCTCTGTGCTACGGCTTTGTGGAGTTCGAGACGGTGGAAGCGTGCTTTCGGGCGTTTCAGAAGATGGAGAAGGCTCTCATTGACGACTGCCGCATCCACGTGGATTTCTCGCAGTCGGTGTCGAAGCTGTGGGCGCAGCGGCAGCGTGAGCTGCGCAAACGTCCTCGACCGGAGGAACGTTAGATGGTCGCGGACCTCTACCTCTACAGATACAAATGGAGCAGCAAAACACGGGAGCAACAGAGTATCTAAAGAGAGAGAGAGGGAATCACATGCACACGACTTTCGGTTATTACAATGGCGTTGCTGCTTCGAGCAGAGGAAAAAAAAATGGCGTTAAAAGAAAGGGAAAACGAAACCGTGCCTCTGGTGCGTGTCGTGGTGGAGAAGCAGCAGCGGAAAGGGCCGCGTCCGTGTTGTTCGGAAGCTCCAAGTGCTGGCCTCTCGTTCTTTTGCGATAGATTTCGTTTTGAGACGCTCCGCATACGAACTCGCGGACGCGCACACACTGAGAAAGAGAAGGCTCCTCCCCTTCACAGCAGACTCTCTTTCCTTTCTCTCGCTTGGTCTTTTCTTCTTTTTTTTTTTGGGGTATTCAAATGCGATGGTCCGCTGCACTGCGCACTACCCGCGCTCTTTTTTCGGTAGACGAACGCTTTACCCATCAGAAGAGAAGAATGCCGGAGGCGCTGACGTGTGCGCTATCGGTGCGTGTTCGCGGGTAAGTCCAACGCCACAATTTTCTTCTTCACATCGGCCATTCTGCTTTTCTTCTTCTCCCATTCAGGCAGCGCGCATGTCAGATACCTTTGCGGAGATTACGCCTTCGGTGGCGGCGGACAACAGCCAGGAAGCGCTGCGAGAGGAGGTGCTCCGCCGAATGGAGATTTACGTGCTGGAGCTGCTGTATAACGCACTGCCTCCTCCCTGTGCGGCAGCAGGAGAAACGGGTGTGGTGGACGGATTCACGGCAACGACGCAACCGTCGGCGCAGACGACACCAAAAATAGAGAACCCAAACGGTCAGAAGACGACAATTCAGAGAAGCTCATCAAACCCGTTGCTGTTGCCGCTGATGAGCTCAAAGCCCCTCCGTCTACGGACGTTGCACACCACCCGACGCCATCTCCTCCTCCTTCGCCTCCTCTACTTCAACGTGAAGCAGCGGACCGTGCAAACCCACCGCGATGTGTACTACCACCTCGTGCGGGAGCTGCCCTCGCAGAGTACGGTGAATCACACGGTGCAACAGCTGGCGCGGGTGCTGCGGGTGCCGCGTCAGCTGATGGGCGTGATGGCGGGCGGGCGCGGATACATTGCCGGCGCGATCTGCTACCGCGGCACCAGCTTAGAAGGAGCTGCGCTCGCACGAGAGGGGATGCCGCTGCCGTTGGTAGAGGCGGAGTGGAGGGTGTCGTGTGTCGAGCAGGAGGAATACGCGGTGGAAAGGGAGGAGGAAGAGTTGGACGCGGAACACGTGGCGTGCGCTACCTTGTCAACTCCACTGCGTGGCTTTCGTGCAGAGTCCGCCGCGGCTCGTGCACCCACGCTGGCAGATGAGGGGCCTCCACTTGCGTCTCCTTCCTCCTACACCGCAGGGTTTCAGATCAAGTCCAACGTACGCTTCATTCTGGTGGTTGAGAAGCACGCCGTCTTCGTGCATCTTCTTCGTTCCGGTCTCCCTCGACTCGTGCCCTGTGTACTGCTCACCGCACAGGGCTTCCCGACCCACGCGGCCCATCGCCTGCTCGCCAACCTGCACGCTGCCGTGCCACAGGCGGTAGTGATCGGGTTGGTGGATTACAACCCGTATGGACTGGCGATCTTAAGTGCCTATCGCTGGCCCTCCACCGGCGTTAAAGGTCCCGCGTCTTTCGCAGACACAGAGGAGTCGCCGTCGGAGGCGCTGATCCGCGGCGCGATGCCCGAAAACCGCTTTTGCGCCGTGGCGTCCCTGCGCTGGTTCGCCGTGCGGGCCGTGCATCTGCGCCGCGTAGAAAGCAGCACGGAGCCGCCGCAGCAGACGAGGGATAGCACGGGGTCGCGTACGCGTCGCCGCGGTACTCAGAGTCGGAACGAAGCTCCGACAGAAGCGGCACTGGAACCAGCTGAGACGCACCCCGATGCCATGAGTTTGAAGAAGCAAGGCGATTCCTCTCTTGCAGCAGACCGTCTACGTACGCGACGCGATGTTCGCCTAGCCACCGGCTGCCTCTCGGGCCTAGCGTCCCAACACCGCCAAAGTGGAAAGAATAGCAGAGAGGGCGGCACACTTCCCCAATCAGTGCGCATCGCCTCATCGCTTTCCACTGTCGCCGCAGGAGTGACGGCGTCGAGCATCATCAGAGGAGTTCGAACACGGCCACCATTGCCACCACCCCTGCAGCCTTTCACACCGCGCGACACCGCCGTGCTGAGCAGCATCATAGCGCAACTCGAGGCACGACTGCGCAGCGCATCGTCCACAGCTAACGTGCTCGGCCCGCCCACTGAAGTCGCAGCAGAAAACACACATGCAGTGAAGAGGATAAAGAGGAGTCATCGACAATCGCAGAGAAACGAAGCTGAGGGAAGCGACACCCCAGCGGACAGCCCTTTCGCTATCTTTCCGCCGGATGACGCCGAGGTCGCGTCGATATCCGCGTGGCTGCGAGAGGCGAAAGAAATGCGCGCCCGTGCAGCAAAGTGCGAATTGGAAGTCCTCTACACGCATCCGTTTGCCTCCCTGTTTGGCGGCGCCTCCGTGGCGACGAGCACGGCGAGCACCTTCTCTTCCCCAGCTACCCAACACAGGGAAGGAGCTGCAACGAGACCAGCCGCTGCAACGTCCGGCTTTGCCGTGTGGGTTGCGCAGCAGCTTCTGCGGGGCCAGTACATTTGAACTGTTAGAGGCGTTTTATTATTTTTATTATTGTTATTTCTTTTACCGGTGTTGCAGCCGCAAAGCACAACGGCGAGGGAGGGAAGTTGGAGAGGGCGGGCGGCGGCGAGATGAATTTCTCGTGGAGCTGCTCAGGGATCAGAAGGTCCCCACATCTGCTATTTCAAGTTTTTTTTTCATAACAGAAGGAAAAGAAAGTGTACATCGAGAATGGAATAGAAAGAAGACAGCTATGGATAGCGTGGGGAGCGCAGGAATGAGGAATGCGGTACGCTCACCGCTTTTTGAGTCTCACTCGTTTGAAGAAAGCAACGAAGCATATTGAGCGTGTGCGTGTCCTTAATGGCGAGACTTTTGGTGCTGACCGAAGCCGTTTCTTCTTGCGTGGTGCTCCGGTCAAGACAGCAGAACTGTGGAGTCCTTGGGCGCAGAAGTCGTCACGTCTCTCTTGCTGATTCTCTGTCGTCTTGATTGTTTTCTCCCTTTCTCTCCACCTTCTTTGTTTGGGCTATGACGCTGTTCCTCCTCCATAACAGCTACATTACTGCTATTACACACACACACACACATATATATATATGTATGTAAGCGACAGTAGCGCTTAATGACCGTTGCGCATAT